GCGGATCAGCTGCCATGCTGATTTAGTATTAAATATATAAAAATGAAGTTGAGAATCAACTCAACAAGAAAATTAAGATACTAAAAAGTGATCGAGGTTGTGAGTATGAATCAACAATTGGGAAGTTCTATGCTCAAAATGGTATAGTCCATGAAGCCATAACACCTTATTCCCTTTAGTCAAATGGTGCTATTGAGCGAAGGATTCGTACCTTGAAAGAGATGATGAATGGAATGTTATTAAGTTTTGGATTTTTTCAGAACATGTTGGGATGTCTTGCTAAAGTGGTTATACCTACATAGTGATGGCAAAAAAATACGTCCCGCCTTGCCCCCGACGGGTTGGCGGGGTGGGGATCGCCGCCCCGTCTAGGTCTCGAGGCAGGGCATCTCGCCCCGTAAAGAATAAAAAAAATTGTTTTGGACATTGTTTGTTTCGAGTGTTTGCTTTGGATATTGATATAGTTAGTTTAAAAAAAACAAAATACAACAAAACAAAACGGGGCAGGCTTGCGCCCCACACCCGCCCGGGGAGTGGCATGGCGGGGTGGGGCTCGCCCCACTGTCATCTCTATACCTACACCTAGGAAGGTAAAAATTGGTCCAAATATAATTGACTGCATTTTCATCAACTATGCACGTAATAATAGTGCATATCAGTTCCTTGTGTGTGAGTCTAAAATTTTATATATATGCAAGAACACGATAATGGAATTAAGAAATTCATAATTCTTTAAACATGTATTTCTTTGTAAGTCCAAAGAAGGACTAAGTTGGTTGAAACGAACATTTGAGACTATTATTGAAAATAGTTAGGACCAAGAATACGGAAAACAAAATGAAGAAGTTCAAGATGAACCTAGACGTAGTAAAAGAGCAAAGACAGAAAAATCTTTTGGTTCGAATTTTTTGACCTACCTGCTAGAAAGTGAATCTCGAACTTTTAAAGAGGCAATAAGGTCTACTGAAGGACTTTTGTGGAAAGAGGCTATTAAGAGTAAAATAGATTCCATACTGCAAAATTACGCTTGGATAGTTAGTGGATCTTCCCGTTGGGTGTAAACTTCTAGAATCCAAGTAGATTTTCAAGATGAAGATGAAAGTAGATGGATCAATTGACAAAAACAAGGAAAGACTTTTAATTAAAAGTTATAGACAACGAAAAGGTATGGACTACTTATATACATATTCTACTATGACGAGAATAAATTCCATAAGGATGGTATTAACAATTTCCGCTATGCACAATTTTAAAGTACAGCAAATGGATGTGAAACCGAAATTTTTAAATGGAGATTTGGATGATGAAATCAACATGAAACAACATGAAGGTTTCATTGCATCTAGATAAGAAAAGAAAGTTTGTGAACTTGTGAAATCCTTGTATAGTTTAAAATAAGTACCAAAACAAAGGTATGAAAAATTCGATTGTGCTATGATGGCAATTGGATTTAAAATCAACAAATGCGATAAATGTGCTTATATCAAAGACACTGAGAATGGATAGGTTATTCTGCTTATATCAAAGACATTGGGAATGGATAGGTTATTCTATGTCTATATGTTGATGACATATTCATTATTGGTAGTAATGATATGATGATCAAATATACTAAAGATATGTTGTATTCAAGATCTAACATGAAAGATATGAGACTGGCCAATGTTATCTTAGGAATAAAGATCTCTAGAATATCAGATGGGCTTGTCTCAGCCACATTACGTTGAAAATATTCTTGAAAAATTTAGTAAAGTTGACATTGGTGTTGCCAGAACACCAATAGATATAAGTGTACATCTATCTAAGAATAAAAGAGAACATATTCCTCAAATAGAGTACTCTAAAATGATTGACAATCTAATGTACTTAATGAATTGTAGAAGACCTAACATAGCCTATGCAGTAAATAAGCTAAGTAGATATAGGAGTAATCATGGAGCTGACCATTTGTAGACAATTGTAAGAAAATCGAGGTACTTAAGACATACTCGTAACTATGGGCCACACTATACAAGATATACAGTTGTCCTAGAATAACGCAGTGATGCAAACTGAATATTTGACATAAAATATTCAATGTCTACTAGTGAATATGTGTTCACACTAGGAAGTGCAGTTGTCTCTTGAAAATTCTTGAAACAGACTATTATAGCCAGATTCACAATGTAATCTGAATTTATCGCACTGGATAAATGTGGGGGAAGAAGTAGAATGACTCGCTATTTCTTGGACGATATTCTAAGGTGTTCAAAGACTATACTTACAATATGCATACATTGTGATAGTCCATCTGCAACTGGAAGAACACATAGCAACATGTATAATGAAAATCAAGATATATTCGTCGAAAACATAATAGCATCAGACAACAAATCTCTACTAGAATGATCTATATTGACTATGTAAAGTCAAATGATAATATTAGGATGGCTAACCAAATGCAATTAGTTGAGAAATCGAGGGAAATGAGACTAAAGCCCATGAAAGAATAAATCGATATAATGAAAACTCAATCTAATTGACTGGAGATCCAAAGATCTAGGTTCAAAGGGGCAACCTAATTGTAAAGATCATGCTGGATCCCTGTATGAATTCATCACAGTCAATTCCCATGATGAAAACAGTGATATCCAAAGCAATAAAGGATAAGCTAAGCTTTTAATGATCATTATGTGTCGAAATTTTTGAGCGGAGTAATGTGAGCTACTTTTAATTAAGAGATCACCTATGTTATAAAGAGACCAATTCGAAGGGAAATTACGAGGGCTTAACTTCTTAGAAACTCTCACAGAATTAAGGAGATGTTCATGGCCAAAATGAATATAACTACGAAACTAAGTTGTGTTTAGTTGAATCATGTGTAGAGTATGTCATCGTTTACACAAATGGTAGAATAGGTTAAGGACATCATGCCCACTAATTAGCTAGTAAAGTAAACATATCTACACAAGGGAAGGTTCATAAAGTAACACCTACCTATCCTATGCAAGTTTCAATCGTTAGATTCTGCAATGAGGCCATCTATCATTGTTGTTAATTTCAGTCATGTGAGAAATTGTTGAAAAAAAAAATCAAAATAAAATGAATTGTGAATGAAGAATTGTAACAACAAGCTTTTGATTTCAAATTTCAATTATCTAGTAAATTTTGTATTGAATTAGTGGGTACAAAGCCTTGATAGCTATTGTAACATATTGC